ATCAATTTCGACTAAAAAATTGCCACACTTCACACAGCTGCCATGATGTCACTCAACCGATGTATCCACAACCTTTATATCAATGTCAGTGCATGGCAATACAAACACCACTTCTGATGTCCATTTAGTAAGGAGATCATGTTGCCATTCGGGACATCAAGTACTAGTATAAATGATATAAACCATCAAAAGTTAAAGTAAAAAGGGCTTGGTACCACATGCCCATGCAGCCCATCCTCAATCATTTTCACATTATTCCGACTTTGAAACCTATGCCAAATCAGACGGCCTCCCTTGCAGCTGTTATTCAAGAGTTAGAAATACAACATATCGATATCTTGACTCACTTTCTGATAGATGAGTATGGGCATCATGTTTTGAGTTGTTGATTTCAGTGCAATCCCTTGATTGCATGCATATGCTACTCCCCAGATGCCTTTGAGTGACCCTTGCTCTTGATCACCTGATCCTCAATATTCCACCCTTGTCCGCCCTAGCCTCTTCTAGTCCCATAATTCTCCACAGTCACCCTTATGTGGTTATGCCCATTGCTCCAACTTCCCATGAAAAACCGCCAAACAGGTCATTCTGGATTCTTGAGATGCTTACTTGCATCTTTGGGTTGCTTTTATTGCCCGCTACTTTTGACAACAATTTGGCATGTTGCCCTAAAAAAATAACATATTTTGGTAGCGTCCAGCCCTTGTAATACTAGCGCATTGCATATATGCATCGTGATATATATACAACGATTCATGATTCATATCACAATAATTATGTGGATATTTTTGTCAATCCGATACAATGATGTTGCCTCTCTTTTCTTGTATCTTTGTTAACAATATGTTTACCATCCTTTTTGAGCTTTTTATTGTGTTTGTGTGTAGCCTCTTTCCTCAATCCTGGACCACACTGGGTGCTAGCTCATGCAATATTTATAATCATATAATTCTTTAACGTAAGCTATAATTAGCTCCCCGAACACAAGAAACAAAGTACCTACATTCATCACCATCATCATCATCAAGGAATCTAAGGTACCAATACTTGGTACACGACCCACCAATAGTGTGCGACAAAGCATCTTGATTGTCCATCACGATACAAAGTCACATAATCCAACAACAACGATTCAACTTGGGTACAAGTTGCATGTGTGCGAATCTCGGGTTTCCATCATTGTTTGCCCAGCTCCAAGTCAGATCAGAATTCCCTTTGTTAATAATGGTATCAAAACCAAATAACTTTGTATCCATTCCAATAGTTGCCAACTGTGATCCTTTTTACAAGTAGCCAAAGTAGCCCAGGGCTTGCTCTTTTTTTCTGGGGACGTTTGGCACTTGGACTCCGCCACTTTTGCTCTCTCGCTAAGCGAGAAGACTTGCATGGGCTATCTAGCGACTCTCAACACATAATGGATTTCTTGCACCACAAAGCCTTTGTGGTGCAAGGAATCCATAATGTGTTGAGAGTCGCTAGATAGCCCATGCAAGTGCATTCAATTCCCTGAAATCTTTGGGCATGCTTCCAATCTAAATAATGAACAAGGGCATAACCAAAATTTCCATTTATCAATTTCAATCAATCCTTCCATCCATGAATCAATCAATCAAAATTTCAATCAATCAACACACGGCTGATACCGGCAACCACTAATGGTAGAAGCAACGAACTACCACCCGTACACTCAATAATAGCCCTCAGACATGTGTGCATTGGAGAGAAACAAACCAATTGGAAACTGCAAACACAAACCACTATAACTATAGTGACATTAAAAGCCATGCACTCAACACTATTGCTAGCTACTCCAAAGCACTGCAAAAGGGGTTTGAGGTAAGAGAGCCCCCAACACGAGCGCTCAAAGGTCTTTAGTTTCGGGAACCGTCACTGGACTCTAGATGTTATGTACTTGGGCCACACTATGCGCCGGGGCGTTGACCCCAAGCACCGATGGCCATCGCCCCCATACCAAAGCAACTATAACCTTTATACATAATCATCACCATAGGCCAATTGGGCTGGTTACCGAAGGGGGATGTCGATAGTCCTGGGTACAAGGCACCCCGTTACAGCTAAGAGTGGGAGTACAGAATATGGTACTTTTGTATGGTGTGGAGCTACCACTGTACAACAACCAAACCAAAGCTAGGGTTACAATACGGAATGCTTGATCGAGTTGAGCTCAGCGGACTTTGACAAAGTTGAATTTATGTTGACCTTTCAGCTGTTCATATTGCAGCCCTTCATTTCTATTTTTAATCCTGTTCAAGTCTTGAAGCGTTGTTTGGTGGTACACTGCAGCTTGCTGCAATGCCCATTTATGATGTAAGCTCGGCTTGCCGCTCGGGGTCACCATGCTGTCCAATTATGGATGTCATAGAGCATTTTTATTGGTGGGTGCTATTGTCCCGGCGGTGCTATTTGGTTATTCGAATAGCACCGAATGCCAAAAAAACATCATTACCGGTTGGGGAGCAATAGCACCCCAATAGCACCGCCAATGCTATTCGGCGCCGAGCCATCCTATTCTGGGCCCGAATAGCACCACTTGAGGCCAAATAGCCTAGGAATAGTGCCCGTTGCTATTCACGCAGAACATTGTAGTGTTGCCATGATGCTATTTGGTATAGGAATAGCACCCACCATTGCGGTTGCGCGCAGGGGAGCAATAGCACCGGTGCTATTCGGCAAATGCTGCTTTAGTAAGGTAGCACGGCAGCCAATGAGAACCGTTCCTGGATAGTTCCGCTGGTGCAATAGCACCGACCGATAAAGATGCTCCAAGAGAACTTGGTTCCCCTTTTCACAGCAAAGACTTTTTGGTTCAAACCCAAGTTCTTGCCCCAGAAACAATGGGCTTTCAGCAACACAGCTGCTGGTGAAACACGCCATCGCATCAGACCTCTGATCCTCGAGGATCACAGCCCCAAATTTCGGTGGCCAAGGCGTCCCGGGCGCCAAAACAGCGCCTGAGCAAAAGCTCGCAGGTGAATATCCCCACCACACCACTGGGTTAAAAGTTTCCTGCCAAGGGGCGCCTGACATGCAGCTGTATGACGTTGACCTCTTCCGATGATCCAGAGGCGGCGCTCGCGCGGCGCACACGCACAGCCCAGTTGGCACTGCGGCGAGCGCTTCAAGCCCAAGTCGGCGCACCCCTTTGCCGCCAAGGGGAGCAGATCCCTCCCGTTCTGCTCCTCGGTCCCCTAGGACCCGTCGCTGGGCCTGTGAGGGCAAACGCGAGCGCGGACGGGCGCATCGAGGGCTGCATCGCCGGCCTGACGTGGGCATTGTCATCGCCACGCCGATCGCCGCGCGGCAGCTCGATCCGCGGCGCCGCGCCTTCCCGCGCCTTTCTCGGGCGGCGAATTCGAATCAGCTGCGGCGTGCGGCAGACTTTGGCGTCTCCCTGTGGGAATCACGTCCAGGGTCCCACGGGGATCCCGTGGAGCCGTTCCAAGGCCCACAAACCCGGACTGGTGATCGGAGCTGAGTTCCCCGCCGGCCGATGCTACCGCCGCTAGTCGTCGGCGGGACAGGGCAGCATCCTCCGGCCCAGTCAAGCCAGTTTTAAAGGTAGCCCGATCAAATTCTGGTCGCGCTTTCGTGAGCGCGGGCGGCCCGGTGGTTTGGGGCGGCCATGGGCGACCAGCCGGGGCAGGGTGGCGGCGACGAGCGGCCCCTGGCGAGCAGGTCGCGCGCGAAGATCAAGCCGCAGCCGACCACGTTCTTCGACATATTGGTGAGTGGCCGCGGAGCCGCGCTGGGCGCGAGGCGGCCGCGTCTGCGTTGAAGGAGGCCGTCGGGCGCCGTGTTCTGTTGGCGTGCCGTGTTCAATTGGCCTGTCGGCCTTTGCCTCGAAGCGCCTGGCCCGCAGTTCCTAGCTGGAGCGTGTCCCTTGCCGCGCGTGGTCCCCAACCCGTGCTTGTCTTTTCCTCGCGTACAAGAAGCTCTCCTCGTTGCCTTGCTTCTCAACACCTCTCGTCGTTCCAAGAACGTTGGCGCCGTTTGCAATTTCTCATTGCCTCTTCGGTTTGCGTTTATTGGCTCCTTGCTCTGTACTCCAACTCTTTTTCATTCCTGTTATAAGCACCTGTCCCTCCTCTTCCTCACGCAGGCAACTAGTCCTGCCCTCGTCGCTCGTTTGACTCGATTGACCTTCTTGCCCCATTTTTGTTATCGAAGCAGGGGAAATTCTTTGCGTTTTCTCTGCGAATCTTGGCAGCTGCAGGAATTTTGCTGTATGCGATTGAACAAACACTTCGGCCCAACATTGCATGTGGAAGTATGCCCTCCATCACCTCTTGGTGCATTGGCTGTGCATAATCCCAAGTTGATAAATGCAGTCAAAAGGCTTCAATTGAATAATCGATGATTGCATGGTGTGAACAAAAGGTAATTAATTGCAATTAATAATTGATAGCTGTAAAAATGCAAAAGAGTGGGCATGAAGCAGTGAATTTCCCTTGCTTGCATACTTCCAAATCCTGTTTGTGTGCAAGAATGATCCTCATGCCCCATTGAGCTTGGCGTTGGGTGGCCCACTGTAAGACCGTTTTCTTCCTTCCATCAGAAACATTGCTTCAGTTTCCATGTCGATTGTTCGTTGTGGCACTTGACTTGATGTTATGTTGTTTTGTGTCAAATACAAGGACAACATTTGACTTTGCCAGAACATAACCCTACTTGCCCCACACTGTGTTCAATGCCACTCACGCTCCACTCAAGACCTTCCATGTCGTCCCCTGCAGCATAAGGAAGAGTGCCATCGAAGTTCTTGCTCTTCAGGGGGTGCCCAGTTGCTGGGCAGTATTCCTTTTCTGTTGAAACGACAATCACATGCTTGCACCGATGTATGCAATATTCAGTTTGCAACTTCTGATATTCAGTTTGAAGTTGTTCAGCACTGTTGGTGACTTGCTCACAACACTCATCCATAGGTTGAGAAGGATGTGGATCTGCGTGAGCAGAAAATCAACGCTGCAGCACTGGCTAGCATGACCTTAGGAGATGAATCGGAAGAGGCTTGCCCTGGAGGTTAGCACATTCTGGAAAGCACCCTGCTAGGGGCGCACCTGTGCATGTGCAGGCAATCGTTTTCTGGTTGAGGGTGCCATCCTGTGTTGCAGTCTATTTCTGTTGTGCTTAGAGACTTGTGTTCACTGTCTTCCACAGTGTGGAAAGATCTCAGGGATTTCTAGCTTGGGATGTGTGCCCACAGTACTGCTACTGGTAAAGGTGCTGCTGGTGTATCCAGTACCAGCAGTGTTGCCTGTCTTCCTTTCTATTAAAAGCTCAAGCTTCACTGCTTAATTCCTTCTGCAGAAAGTCGTCTGATCTTTTATCGTGAATTTCTGCTGAAGTGGTAGATTGTTTCACTGTGGGGCCACCCTGTCATTATCCAGCTACCAAGGCAATGAAATCCCAGTTGGGGTGTTGACTGTTCAAGGCAGAAAAGAAGGCACAGACTCATGTATCACATAGGCAACATTTCAACAAACTTCACACTTGGCACTAATGTTCTCCCCTGACACCCTTCCTGCTCCCTCTTTTAGAATTGTTGCCATGCTTCTATCACCCAGAATCTCTACAGCATGCTAGTGAATTCCCATCTGTGCTTTACTACAGTGAACAATCTCTGTGGTGTTGTATTTGTGCTCCTTGTCCTGTGCTGTTTCGGCATGTTCAGGTCTTCATCCCCCTGCACTCCCCTGATTGCTTGAACTACCTCCCTTGATGCACTTGGAGGCTGCCAAGTCACCCTTCGCTGTGTGGACAATGAGTAAATAGTTTGCTCAGGATGATTACCCCACAGCGCAATCTCTTTGAGAATCAACCCAGCCTTTTCATGCCTTCCGCGGGAACACTTTGGTGCAGTTAATTTGCCATATTTGCCCCTGGCAGCTTGTGCTGTGTTCTGCATGTTGCCGTCTTTGCATGGAAGGGACTGGGGGCCAATCACTACAGCACAGGCCTTCATTGACTACATGCTTGATGGCACACACTTCAAAAGCTTTTTTCTATTTCTTCATGCTTCTTGCTTCCAGCACTTGTTTGGGCAAGCATCGATAGTTGCTGTCTTGTCAGCTGTTGACAGTATTGGACATTCAATTCTGTGGCTCTTGCTTGTCTTGCACACACACGCATCAACATTGATTGGCTGTCTCTCTGTGGCAGATGTTTCCATTGACCCACCATACGATGTAATGGGGGATCAGCCACAATTCCTGCAGGAGTTGGCTGGAGATGTGTACTTGGACATGGCAAATGTCAATATGGGCCAGCGCCTGGGTGAGGGCGGCTTTGCTGTGGTACACAAGGCAGAACTTAAGACAGAGGATGGCACACACACTGTGGCCATCAAAGCCCTCAAGCCGGGTGTGATTGAGGACAATGAGGACATGAAGGAACTAATACAGGAGGCGAACTTGCTGAGGAAGGTGCATCACAGGTGAGCATAAATCCTGGCTGATGGCAATCACAAGAACAGGATGTGGGCTTGTGCCAGACATCAGCTTGCTGTGCAGGGCTGTGCTTGGCCACTTGTCAACAATTGCAACCACTGGATCTATGCTGCTAGCTCAGTTATTGGGATTATTGCTTCAGGCGAGCTGTCCATGGACTTCTTGCTTCTTTGGACATACAACCTGTGCCTTGCCACAGCTGCCACAAGTGTTGGCGATGTAATCCCCTGTCTTTTGATATGGTGGATTTGGTGGCAGCTCCTTGGGCAACATGGAGCTGCCTGTTTGCTTATTGGAAGGTGCAGAGGCTTCCTGAGATCAATCCATGAGTTTTGAGCTACTTCCAGTTCCAGAATTTGAACTGCATTTAAGAGATCAAGAGTCTTCCCCATCACAATGGAAGATGTGCAGGTCTGCAGGTCTGTGGCCACCTCGGTGCACAATGCAGGGCATTTCATCCTCGCCTGAAAGATTGGTTGTGTTGCTGCCTTAAGGTACATAGTTGGTTTCTGCGGAGTGGGCAGCTCTGAGACCGAGTCTGTGGAAGCCATGCGCGGCTCTGTCTTCTTTGCCGAGGAGTTCATGGCAGGTGGCACCCTGAAGCACCTCATCATGAAGCAGATGAAGCAGAAGCTGCCACGCAGGTACAAGTTGACAGAGGCTTTGCGGTGGTGCATTCAGATTGCAGAGGCCCTGTCATACCTGCACAACAGCACCCCTGTAATTGTGCACCGGGATATGAAGCCCGAGAATGTGCTGCTGACGACAACAGACACAGAGATTGCAGAGGTGGGGTTGGGATTCCATTCTGTGGCAGGGGCAATTGAAATCCCCAGCACAAATTTGCGCACTTGGAGTTCTGCCTAACCTGGCATTGGGGTTGCATGCCCTTAATTTTTCTGATTTTTTCTGATTTTCTCTCATCGCTGTTGATTTCCAGGCAAAGATTGCTGATTTTGGCCTCCACAAGAGGCTAAGCAAGATTCATAAGAAGCGCCACAGCAGCCACGCACTCGATGAATTAACTGCAATGCTGCAGAACATGGAAGCTTCACAGTGTGCAGAGGGTTCCAGCCCAAAGGTACCAGAATTTGGTTTTGTACTACATGGTGCCAAATGCTAAAAAAATCAGCCAAAGCAGGAGCAAATGTGACCATGAACCGGAACTAGTGTAGCTCCAAACAAACGATGTCACTTGAACAATGGCGGCATCTCTTGGTTTAATTTTGCCTTCAAAGTCAAAGTGGGGCCCTTGCACCTTGCAGGCGATCATGGGCTTGCAAACGTCCGAAACCGTTTTCTGTAGATTAGCGGGTGTGCTGTGGGTGGAAGGGAACCAGATCACATATGATGAGGCTGTAATGGGGTACAAGCCGAGTGCAGAGTACTGTAAAATCATTAAAGTGTAAGAGCCAGAGGGCGGATTGGTGCGGTGGGTAGGGGTGTTGCTGTGGATCCCTTGATTCCACCTATGCAGTTGCTCAAATTGTTGTTTCTCAGCGCCTTGCAGATGATGTTGCTCCTGGAGAGTGTACCTCTGGCAGTGGGCCACACTTGGGAGGTGCACAAAAGTTGCTGCAGTGCAGCTGGAGCAGCATGTATCAAGTCACACATTGCATATTCAATTCAGCAGGACTAAACAGAACAGCCTTGGCAACAGGGATAATCTGCCACTCTTAAGAAGTTGTGCTGCTGTTGGCGAAATCTTGTCGTGTCTTAGTGCTGAAAACAGTGGTGCAGGTAAGAGTGTGAACACCAAGTATGGGCAGGTGCTGGCGGCTGGTTTGCAAAGTTTTGAATGGTGTTTTGATGACCTGATTCAGGAGGCCCCATCGGATACTGAAAGAGACGGAACGATTCTTATTGACAAGCAGCGGCATGACTCACCTACCACACAAGAGAAGATGGATGGTGTGGGTGGTGGAAAGAATGTTAAGAAGGGGAAGAATGTTCGCCACAGAAGGGTACACAGTCTTCTTGTACTTGAGTTTTGAGGAATGCGTTTGCCTTGGATTAGGACTGTTCATGGGCCACTGGCTCAATGGCTGGCGCATTATTGTGCCTTGTCTCCTGCAGTCTGTCAAGAGTCACAAGGACTGGTTTGGAGGATGGTTGAAAATGTATTCCGATGCACTGTGTCGCGCAAAGCTCTTGCAGTGGTTATCTCTTGATGGTGAATTGGGTGCTGCCACCACTGTTTGTCATTATGTGAACGCAGGTTGGTTTTCCGCAATTTGCACTGCCACCGCTTGGATTCAAGTTGAATACATGCCATGACAGGCACTCCAATTTTGTCCCAATGCATACAATGCATGTGGACAATAGATGCTCTTGCTGTATTTCGAAATGTAGCTTAGATATGACATGTGCAAAGCGTGCAATGCATACCAGTTCGATCAGTGTGCCTTCACGGGAGTGTTGTGAATTTTGCCAAATTACATGATAGGTGTTTATTTCCCCAAGCCTGTCTGTGAAGAACCCCACCATCGTCTTTGGTGTTGGTGTTTTGTCAGAATAGTACACAGCTGATCTCCATGTCTCGATTACAATTTGTGGGCGGTGTGGCTTATGGATGCCCATTGCATTGTTTCCACAGAGGAACATAAAGCTTGATGGCAGCATGCTGGGCATTCTTGGGAGCGTGGCTGGTTCCAGCGTTACAGGAATGGCAGGGAGCTTAATGTACATTGCACCAGAAGTTCTTCAGAACCAAAAATATAATGAAAAGGTATTTGTCACCAGGTGCTCTGTGTTGTGTTGGTGTTTTTGAACCCAAAGTTGTGCATGGTTCCTTGCTTGATGAAATCAAGGAATACAGTGTACAAAGTATACAAATTTTCGATGCCGCTTTGACAGAAGACCATGCAGGGTATGCGATTGAGGGCGAGTTGCCCCACAACCTTTGTCGGTGTCCAGAAGTGAATCCAGGTTCTGGTGTAAGTCCCAGTTACAGAGATATTTGTTGAGTCCCTGCTCTACGTTCCATCCGGGGAGCAAGCCAAAAATTATCCGAACTTTTAGGGTTCATTTGGGATCACCTTGGGCTTTATCCACAATTCATGACCAAACGAGGCGAACCAGTGAAGCCTATTGTTATGACCTGTGCATGATTGGGCTGCTTTGCATGATAGCAAAAGTCTGCATGTCTCCCATCCAGACATTGGCTGGCACTTGTCCCCTTGTTTGCTCCCCTTGTTTGCTCCCCTTGTTTGCTCCCCTTGTTTGCTCCCCTTGTTTGCTCCCCTTGTTTACCTTTGGGCACATATTCTGGGCTGTAGTGGAATAACTTGTTCATTTGCTTTCAGGTTGACGTGTTTGGCTTCGCCGTCGTCATGTACGAGTTGTTTCGAATGGAGCTCACAATCGTTCGGCTTCTGGCCCCCTGCAAAGGCATTGGTAACGCACAGACGAAGCAAGCAATTCGCCGATATGCCCTCAGCGTGTCCCGCGGCCTGCGGGAGCCCATCCCCCAGCACTGGCCGCCTGCGATTCGGAACCTGATCCGCCAGTCCTGGTGCCAGGACCCCAAAAAGAGACCTTCCATTCAGGTCGTGCTGGGGAGGCTGACAGAGATTGCTGCCTCAGGGGTGGTGGAGAAGATGGATGAGTACATAGACAGACATGCTGAAGACCAGGACTCTCCCACTTGTGGCTGTTGCACTGTCAGCTGATCGACCAAGCGAGTGGTGGGGTGGGGTGGATGGGGAGACCTGTTGCAAGCAGCCATGTTCTGCCGCTCCTTGACTTGCCACATGTGCTTGGGTGTCATATTTTTGACCACACGGAAATCTGCAAGGATTCTATTATTAGAAGCAACAGAAAGCAGGCTCTCTGCACCTACTGTTGTGGACCTTGGTGACGTGTATCTTGTCTCTAAGGCAATTGGTATTCGATTGACATTGACCGTGTGGCATGGGAATCGCAAGTTGCTGGTGCCATGCGAGGCCAGAGATTCAGTGGCTGGTCCTTTCATAGCATGGGTGCCCTCCTGTGGAGGGCCTCCATTTTGATGGTACTGTGCAGGCTTGGCTGCACAACTCTTGACTGGCACCACAAAGGACCCAGATTCTTTTGCGTGCCTCCTGTGGCGTGTGGCCAGTGCTGTTCGCTTGGACTCCAGTCTGTGAAGTATGTTGGGCGCCTTGCCAAGCCACAAGGGCAAGATGGCATTTACAAAATAACGAGGCAAAACCCCTCCTTTCCCAGCAATGTTGCAGGCGCTGTAGGAAGGAGCACCGGAACAACACAAGGCACAAAAACAGGAGAACGCATTGTTGGCCCACATGTCGTTCTCAATATTCACCCACGGTGTTCAAGCTAAGTGGACCCACGGGAAAATCACCAGGAGAGACAACAGCCACGAGGGTGTGCACCGGCTTGGGCTTCTGATGTGCGGAATTGACACAGGGGCAGCAGACACCCTGATCCTGCTCTGCAGGAGTAATATGGGCCGTGCCATATGAAGGGGCGTTGCTATCTTGCTGAGAGTTTTTGCTGGAGTCTTTCAGATCGTTAGAGTCCAGTGCACTGTTACGAAATGGATTAGGCAACATTATCAACAGGTTTGGACATGTTTGACATGCGCTTGCTGCATTGGCCTTCTGTCTTGGTGCATCACTGACCCCTTTGCGATGCTGTTATGCTGGGGATCTCTGTGCGCCAGCAAACATGGAGCTGTTGCAGGCACTGGCGGTCTTGAGATGCCTGGGAGCTTGTTTCGGGCAAGTCAGGCCCAGTTTGGGCCTCTTCTTGGCTGATGTCAATTTTGGGGGGCAATTCTGTAAATCGATTGATGTGCTGGCCACCACCATTGGCGTTGTTGGGGACAGATCCCACTTAGTACATGGAGCCGTTGGGCACCGGGCAAATCAAATTATGTGCTGGATCAACTCATACGAACGTCTGGAGCGTACATGGAAGTTGATTCAGAGCTAAATTGATGCATTGGCACTGAGGCACTTGCTGAGGAACGTTGTGGCAGTACTCCTGCATCAGCGTTGAACGTGCTCCGTCAGCTTTGTCACAAGGCCGTTATTGCTGTGTTTCCCAGCGTTTTGTGTGATGCACCAAGTGGCACTACCCAATAGTGTTGCACCAACTTGTACCTAAATTCTAGATCACGGCCCCGGCACTCGAGCAGCGCTCAGGAGCATGCAACTTTGATGAGGCTCAGGGACAATACCCCAGTTCGTTTCTGAAACTCTTCGCTTCCTTCAACTTGAAAAGTTGAACATTGCAAGCATTGTGTAAAACTGCCAGAACACCATTGCGTGGACCCACGATTGCAATGGACTGCCCTTCCTTCCCTGCCCGCCACTTTGATGTTGTCGGTATTTTGAAACAAACGGGTGAGCTGCGATCCCTCTTGGGGGCTACCCTGTGGCAAGGTTTAACGTGTTCAACATCGAACTAGATTCTGCAACAAAAAGATTGTTGCCCAACAGTTTGTAATCAAGCTCTGCAACATTGTTGTAGTGTATTCAACCCTTCCACATTAAAAAAATACCATTACACTTTGTGCTCCACATTTCTAAGACTCCCCCAACCTACAGCCAGGTCGTAACCACCAAGAGGACAACACCACGGACCAGCACAGTGGTTATTGGCCAGCGCCCCATGGGGTACTTGGCCACATGAGCTATGGGCCTACCAATGACAGGGGAAAGATCTACAGGACGCCCGGCAAAGCAGGCCCGGCTTGAATCTCCAGCAATGACCAGACCTCAATCTTTGGGAAGGAGGGTGGATTCTTCCACTTCAGTTCACCAGAACAAGGCTTCATTCAACCCAGAACTCAGTGCAAACACCACAAAACTTGCACGGCTAAGGACCATAAGACATTGCTTCTTATGCTATGCTAAATATACATTAGGACATCAGACTGAGTACTGAGTACCCAGTGAAAAGTGAAGAGCGGATAGCACCACCTTTCCCTATGGCGAATATGGTACGTGCACAGAGTTTGAACTTTCCAGTTAGCAAAACGTTTGCTTCTTTGCCAATATTAGAACCTACATTGCATGCTTTATCCAGTGGACCAGTTGCCATGACAGTGTAATCGTCAGTGTGGAAATATGTCTCTATAAACCCAATTGCAATTATAGACCATACAGATGGTAATCTCATCAGGCATACAAGAACAACAGACGCAGATGCAAGTACTACGAGTAATCAGGATAGGGTTATATTGCCTACATAGTTTCAGAAAATACAAGAATGAGTATGCCATGCATTTACATTGGATGCGTGTGCTAACCTAGATGGAAAGAACGCACTATGTATATGGTAGTGAGGATGACTTTCTCAATAGAAAATTTGGAGTTGAGCATGTATCGCTCAATGCCCTTTTCAATAGTATACATAAATTCATCAAACATTATGCAAAACAGAAGAAACAACATCTTCAGACAATTAGTGCATTCATAGTGGTGCCTAACTGAAGACAATTGAGGATTCTTGAATTAAAAGGGATGCAAGTGGTTGTGCAATATAATAAGGGACAAATACTCTTTACAAACTCCTCACAATCAAGATAATGGCAACACTTGCCAGGAATACCATGGGGTGTTATGGTGTATTACGACCCACCAGTTCTATTAGTATATGTGATGGGGTGGTTCGATGCTGCTCTGGGCACCTCCCGACGGCGCTCAATCGCTGCCGATGGGCAGCCCTCACATCTAGCGGTGTGGCGTCTTGCGGTGTTCGCTTCCCCTCTCGCTCGCTCGCTGTGGTGGGCCCTTGCGATCCGATGGATCACCGGGGTGCGGCCAAGGACCCAAAGGTCCAGCAGAAACGACTCCTCGCGCTTGATGGTGGCGAGCGCGGGTGCTGGGGTCCGAATGCAAGTTACAAACTATCAGACAGGCGCAGTTTTGCCACTCCCGTGCAGCACAGCTGACTCACCCTATATAGGGTGACCAGCACACCAGAAAACGCAATGTACAAGTGCCAAATATAATGTAAATATTCCAGCATGTCTCCACCAGTCCCCAAGAACTCACAACCACCCAAAATACTCCAAAAATGAACAGCTAGGGCCACTGGTTGTAGCTACCCCCAAGTAAATCCACAACAGTATTCCCTCTTGGAGGAGTTTTTGCCCTCGAAAACTGGTCCCCATAAAACGGTTCCACTACCACTACCCAATTGTAGATCTATTTGTAATCTTCAACAGGTTTGTCATTCATGTCTTCAACGGGCGATCATTTTCTTCAACTCGCTGGGATAGTCGAAGTTCCCCTCAGGCACCCAAAAAGTGTCATCAATGGACTATCCTGCCCAGATTACCAAAAATCCCTTGACCTTCTTGTGATTGGGCCCTGTCCAACGCCACCGCAGAAGCTTTTCCACATTGTAGGGCTGTAGAGGTGGCCACCCGGATCCGTTAATAGCGGACAGAGGTTAATTTCCGTTAATTTTCTGTTAATTAACGGAAAACAACGAAAAAAAACAAAAATTAACCAAAAATTAGCGGATTTTTGGATTTTTTGGGGATTTTTGGGTTTTATTCATACTTATAGTTTATGGAATTCGCTATTAGAGAGTATGTTTGTATTTTATTTCAACCTATGCATACTAGATTTTCAACTAGCCGCAGTTGTTGTGATTTTTTGAGTTTTTTTTTCGTTTTTTTGGGATTTTTTTCGTTTTTCCTGAATTTTTCTCCCTTTTTCTTTAACGAAATTTAACGACAGCTGATAAAAATTAACGAACCGGATTTAACGGACCGGATGGCACCTTTGAGTGGCCACCTCTATAGGGCTGATCATCTTTAGGCGCAATTTCATCTGTTCCAACAACGGTAATCGATGGTGTCCAACCTGAGACCCTGAATGGGTGCAGTAAGCTCATGTGGAAGACTTTGTGAATCCTCCAAGACTCTGGCAAGTCAAGTTCATAGGCCACCTTGCCAATTCGGCGGATGATGAAGAATGGCTCAATGAATCTGTTTTTGAGCTTACGGCTAGGTGCATTCTTGAGCGAAAGATGTTTTGTACTCAATAGCACCTGGTCTCCAGGATGAAACAACTACTCTCTGCACCACTGATCGGCCTGTACCTTCTGTCGCTGTTGAGCCCATTGCACATACTGCAGAGCCCATTGAAAAGTCTTTTGCATTCAGGACACAAGCATGTTGACACCCTCAATCCTGGTAGTATCACTGTCCCGAATAAGGTCCAATAGAGTACAAGGGTTATACCCATAGTTCAGGTAGAATGGGGTATACCTAATGGATGGTGAAACACTGTGGTTCATAACAAATTCCACAATGGATAAATTCTTCTGTCGGTGTGTTGCTTCAGAATACTCATGGATTGTGCACCTGAGGACCATCTCCACCACCCTGTTCATTGCCTCTGTCAATCCATCTGTTTGTAGGTGATGGGATGTGGACATCCTGAGCTTGCTCCCCATAATTCTCCAAAACTCACGCCAGAACTTGGACACAAATCTGAGGTCTCTGTCTGATACGATGGAACGTGGTATCCCATGAAATTTTCCAACATGATCACAGTAAATTCTCATTGTATCAGCAGTTGTGAGGTTCTGTTTAGCCGGGATCAAGTGCACCATCTTGGTTGCATGGTCCATGTTACGCTTTTGTCCTTGGTGGGTCGGGATACCAGTACTTTAGGCTTTCTGTAGAAAAACCCCTGGTGGAACAATC